TATAGCAAACAAGCATCCTAGGCAAACCAAGAGAGAAGAGAGGTGAAGAGTTGTAAACCTTTGAGAATTTGTTGAGACGGTATTTGTTGAGCACGAAACACATAACGACCACGCCAAGAGTACGGTATATGAGACAGAATACGGTAGTCAGTACGATGAAAGGTGTATCCCAGTGATGATCAGATGAGACAGTTGAAAGACCGAGGAACACGAAGATTACAGTCTCCGAGCACATGGAGAGCACCTGAAACAAAATAGGATATACGGTATAATAAATTCCTTCATTCTCCTTCTTCATAGTTTGTCCTGTTTGGGGGCGGAGTCCGCTATTGTGGTAAAGACAGCTCTCCTCAGTGAAGCTCGATCGTGGTGAAGGCCAAGTGACACGGTATGTTGAATGATTTATTTATTCTATTATATTTACCGGTGCAGCTATAACAAGCCTAGAATGGCAACACTTTTCTCTTCAGTGATGAAGAAAATATGAGGAAGTTTGAGGTAAAATATGGAGTGGAACCATTGCTATCTACCCTTTTTATGTTCATGGTTTTGCTCTTCGAGTTGGGATTTCTAGCAAGGAAGGTTGAAATTCCTGTCTTTGCTCATTTCCCAAAGCAGTCCCACGATAACAATATGTGGACATTGGGTTACAAATATGTGACTGCACACGCTGTTTAGTGGCCCGCCGGTGGAGACAGGATTAAAAGAATACACGAAGAACGCCTTGAAGAAGACGCGGACTTGATGAGTTATTGCAGTATGCGACACAGTGCCAGAAAGGAAAAGAGGAGGTGATCATATTGGACAGGGCTTTGACAGTTCTGACGGAAACTCTAGCCCGCTCGAATTATGTATGGAAGGTGAGCGGTGTTGGAGCGTGTTGGCTGGTCGCAAAATCCCATGTAGGCAGTCGTTGTTGTGACGGTCGAGGATTCTATTGAGATCCCTCTCCCTAGTAGGGAACGACGTGTCAAATTTGTGGAATTAAAACAAGGGCCGGTTGACCTTGGTCCTGAGCCCAATAAAAGCCGAGAAAATAGCACAACCTATCTGCTTCCTGACCAATCAAACCTAAGCGCTGGCGGACAAGTATATAACACTCAAAAAATCGCAAAAATTTCTATATTTGTTTGCTCAGGAACGTTAGCTTTCACGTACTGCTTCATCGCTGCTCCACAGAATACAATGCTAAAAAGCTCACATAGTTATGGGAATAATGGGATTTCAACTTATTGAACTCACGCCATAATACTGGACAGGCCGAACATCTCAGACAAATAAATAGTAGACCAAAGTAAAACAATACAAAAATGGAATTTAGCACAGAACTTCTGCGTGATGCTATTATTTATTTATTTATTTATTTACTGCACATAGGTGGCGCCGTTAGTAGTGCAACGAGTTTAGTAAGTACAGAACCGTTCAACAACAACAAAAAACTTTGGAAAAGAGTAACTACATAGCTAAGGTTCCTAATAAATCCTCAACTCCAGACTCTCTCAAAGAAATGAATGCAACGGTGCATTGGTAGCATCTTTCAGTTTCAATTGAATGACAGGAAGAAACTCACTTTGTTATGAAACTAGCAGATAGGGCCACCAGGAGACCAACTCCTATTCCTCCAAAGCATACAACCAAATACGAAATTCCACCATTCACGTAATCCATGGTGATGAGATTTTCTGTTCCGATCTCTGTGAATGAGACGAACATGCGGTAAAAGACCTTAACTGATGTAATTACCACGTTACGTTCTCGCGCTCAAAAACTGTACAACTTTTTGAGGCGAAACAGGTCGCTCATTGATGGCAATAGCATGTAATGAGTAAGGCCATGCATGCCATGAATGTGCTGCTTGAGGTCAAGAATTAGAATCTACGGACGTTTTGACATTCGGGGCGATGAAAGGGGAAGCAATAAGGGAAAAGGAGCACTCGCATAAAAAACTGTTTCCGAGGTTAGGCGCACAAGTGGATCGCCTCAGGTGGTACAGCAGATACAGATGTTTGACGGGATCGAGAAGGACGGTGACGGCAGAGATAAATTGCAAGCTGGGCAGTCTTTCTATTGAAACCACTTTCATGAAGCAAGCCCTCTACATGGTCCCGTCTATCCGTCTCCAGCGCTTGATAGTTTCAAAATAATGTTCCCCGCTATCGCATGACACACTCCAGCTCCTTCACTGAAAGTCCTGGGGCCGCATGCTATCCGTCGGCAGGGTGAGAGAAACGAAGCTTACTTCAATTTCTCTGTCCTCTCAGCTAGGACGCCCTATAAAGGGCCTCCATGTAATGTATGCTCGTGGGTATTTAACATTAGCTAAAAATGAAGAATTTGCATTGCTGAAAACAAATGAATTGAAAAAGATACTTCTGCTTCTAGCCTGGGCGAATGGCACGCGGCACAGAAATGAGTGAGCAGGAGAACTACTCACGCACATAGCAACTCGTACAGCATATTTTGGGCCTGATGGTTTACCTTGAGTGGGGATCACGAGGAAATGAACGGAGGCAGTTGCCAGATGGCAGTTGTATGGAACCACATGTATGGTATACCGTGTTCTGGTATAACATCACAACTGACGCTAATCACACTCACCTTAACACTTCATACTCTTCTTAAACACACACTAAGTCCATGCCCACTTAGATATCTTCTTACTTAGGCGCAACTTTGTTTGGGAACTAGCGAATCGTTTAGTGGAAATCATGATTCTATCTCCCATAAATCTCTGGGCAAGAAAAAATTTCGAAATTTCGAAAACACTTCGATAAACCAAGAGGACTGTTATAC